TTTGCATACATATTTTATCTCATTCATGAATTATAACAATATATCAGAATGTCATCGAATTCACATTCAGTCCACGGGATAATTTTATTTGTCGGCCGTTAAAAACTAGTTCTCGTTAAAAATGGAGGATAATGCTAGATACTGATTTCTGTCTCGTAAAAAGAAGGAACTTCCGGTAAGCTTAACTTTTCATATAGCCGCCGGGACGCGAGAAGTTACTTCGGCTCTTGGTATTACGACGGCGGTCTGTTAGCGATAATTTACATGGGATATTGGCGCGATCTAATTCGGGCGCGCTCTGGCAGCCCGACGGATGGACGGCCGTGTCACGTTCGATTATATCCAGAAGGACCGTGCTTCGTAGCTACGTAGTTTGCTGGAGCCTTAAATGAAGTGTTAGTTAACGCGCCGAGCCGTCGATCTAGATTACCTGGTCTAGACGCAGTCTCCGCAGAGTGACGTTTCCAGCGATCCCCATCGTGAAATGACACTGAGTCGCGGAAGATTATATCGCGGTAAAATTTCAAACTCCAAAATTACAAAACCGATAACAGTTCTCATATCGATCACGAGAAAAAAAACGAATTAAAACCTTGATAGAGCATAATTGCGTTCACTTTTTTTTCTACTATTTCATTTCTTTCCAAAGAGCCAGCTGTTCTCTGTGGATTACTGTAATATGATGAACGATGGTTTGCACATCGCATATAAGTTTGCAAAACACAAGTTCTCAGTTAAGAAAATGTACAACTCCTCTGTGAGAAGTAACTGTACGTTGGGACGATTTAAAGAGTTTCGTATAGATAATTGCCGCAAGAATTGCAGAATTATGCGCTTTACTCTTTGACTGTATGGCATTCCCTCCGACTTGAAGAACGCTTTAACGGCCATTCTGGTTTATTGCCAGCGGCATGAATTAACACTCGACTACGACTACGTTTATCGTTGACTGTGAATCACCGAGACATACGTGTTTCATGAGAAATGTAAACGCGACAATTATTCCGCCATGCCAAATAACCCGACGCTGATTCGTGTCGTTAAATTAGGCAAAGATACGGCTAGAAGTGCTTACATTCGACTGGAAAACGATTTTGTTACTTCTTCGGAACGTAACGTAGTGATTGCATTGAGATTTCACCGCGTATATTGATACAATGTTTTATTTTTTTCCCCTTTGACATGTCGTCTACATATTTCATCGCGACGCTGCATTAAATTCAGAAGAATCGAGCGATACGCTTCATTTCAATCGCTCGTTAGCAGAGTCGATCGTACGAATCGCGACGTGTAAACAAACGCGCGGAATTTTCTGAAAGATCAATCGAACGTCTATGACGATTTCTCGTATTCGCGAAGATCGTCTCGCTTCAAAGTGACACAGTTGCAGGGAGGCGGCATCAAGAGTGAAAAGCGAGCCCCGGGAATATTTTCTCCGAGTTCGTTTGCGCTCGTCGACCGGGGACGCAATTTCCACTTTTCAAAGAGCCAGAAGAAATTCCGGCCTGCTGATAGGAACGGCGAGTTGGCAAAACCAAATATGTATTTCGCAGCTGCTTTGATCACCTTCGCGGCGAAAACGCCCACAGCAAACGAAAGGAGACCGACGGAGCCGACGAAAAGCGCGAAGGCTTGTACGCTCACTCCCCTGCCCCCCCGTTCACTGTGCAATTTTTCCTTCCTTTTCTTTCATTTTTTTTTCCAAAAATATGTAGATCCACGAGTTTGGTACACGTACAGGTACATTTGTGTACTTCGCCTACCGAAAGGCGATGCGACCCGAATGCGAAGAGGACACTTCGGTCTTTTTAACTGTCAGGATTAATTAATGTCGGTCCTTCGTGAGAAATACCGGACCGACGCTACTTTTAAAGGCGCGGAGGATTCCACGCGATGGAAATAAGGACGAACACGATGCCGACAGTACCGAGTGATTAAACTTTCCCGGTACGTGTTTGAGCAGGAATAATTAAAACTTTTTCTCTCTCTCTCTCTCTCTTTCTCTTTCACTCTCTATCTCTTCTCACGAGCAAAGAATGAAGCGTACCTTGACGAGCGATATGACGTAAAAAGATGATTAAGTGCGCGCCTAGGAAGATATTCTCATCTAATGTCCGTAATAGAATAATAGCGAATGAGACACGAGTTAAGAATAAAAAGTCACATTTTAAATCGGTTGCTTTACAGCCAATTCTAAAGGTGATTGTCTGATTCCTATCGAATATTAATATTAAATATAATTCTCATATTAAATCACTCAAGCATCAAACTAAGCACAGTTACTGTGTAGCTAAATGTAGCGCTATTGAAACAATTTGATATAAATTTAAGATAATTTACCTTATATAGGAATAAATTCAATTTACAAAAGATATTAAAGTCGACATATAATGCGCATAAGCTTCTTTTAAATTTTAGCTTATGTCGCTTTCGTACATGTCACCTGAATCTCACACAAGGTAGAATAGTGTAGAATATCACAACCAATATTCGCGTAAATTCGGGTAAAAATTCATGCTCCTGGGTGTGTGTATTGATAACCCCATACGAAACTCGAACTGTCACGATCATCACGCTGTCGAAAATAAAATGGACACCGGTCGCCGAGAGCATTTTCAGTGAGCCATATTACGTCGCTGCTCGCAAATATTCAGCTTGATGCTTGATTGAAGGGTATTCTGCACGCGGCTAAAAATATCCGCGTATTCGCGCCAGCGAGCCTACCTACGCCCGAATAAAAAATCGTTACGTTATTTTGTAAGATCTATAAGCCACGTGATATCTGGTCTTTTTATACGTCGCTCGTAAATGTCACGCGTGTTGGCGAATCCGTTTCGGACACACGACCAAGTGTAATTTTAGTTTTTCGACCTATGTGTGTATCAGGATATTCCAGTCCTAACGTAAACTTGTGTTGAAAGCAAATTTTTGGCAGGTTCGTGATCGACTTTTCCTCAAGTTCACATTTTCAAAATGGATTAATGAGCCAAGTGCTTATAAATTTCATGTGGGACTTTACTTACGCCAAAAAAATATTACCACAAATTTTGAAAAACGGTTTGTGATTTACCGCGAGATGTTTCATGTTGGAAGTAAACGCGTCTCTGTCCGGCCCAAAAAATTAATATAAAACAAACATTTCAGACGCACGCAAACGAAATCGCAAAATTAAAGCGTTTGAATTGTATCGGATGGTTTTTATATTCCCCATCATCAACACAAATAAAAAGGTCAATGGTCGGTTGTAGTATATTTGAACAAATATCGTTTTCAAACAGAGCTCATGCAGAAGATAAATGGTCCAAGTTTTAATAGCATCCAAATAGCCGTCGGTGTCCACAGGGAAAATCCGAATTTATGAACCTCCAGAAGGATTTAATTTATTTAAATTTCAGGCCGGTAAGCCAGGTTTAAATCCTGATTTACCACATGGCTTTCCTTGTTGCTCGCACATGCGCATTTACTACCTAGGCTTAAAAGAACTGTTATCACGAGTGCTTTTACAAAACTTTTATGAGTGTATAACCGTGGAAAAACCGATAAGCCGTAAATAATATCTCGCGTCATGTAAAGAGCTAATTAGAAAAATAGTCTACATTATTGCAGATCGGTCTGCCTTTCATCTGTACAGTGGTCAATAATTTTGTGCGTATGATAATTCAGAAAATATACTCGCATATAATTGTTCGCTATAAATAAATTATAGAATCAGAAAATTATGAAAGTATACACATAAAAAAACGTGCCGCGTCTCGCGAGTGGAAAAAATATATTACTGATATTTCATCTCATATTAGATTCTTTCATACAAGAGATAAACCTTCGATTTTATTCTTTCTTTTGGTTCACTGTTCTTTTCCCAGCAACTGATGTTTAAAACACTAGCCGAGCTTGAAAAGAAAAAGTTTTATGCGTATACAACACAGGTAATAAAAAGCCCAGTAACGGTATAGATCGCTGAATTATCTGAAAACTTCCGCGATCGGGTCGTAGTTCAAGCGCTGGGAAAACACGCTCCAAGCACAAACCCATTAATCATCGAAGTAGGAGGCACCGATGACTGATGAGATACTTAACTTAACTCGCATCTAGGTGGGTCGAAGATCACTAACGCTTATAAAGAACCGATCGACTTCATTTCCAACAATGCAGCTTGCATCCGCATACATCATCCGATCTGACTGAATCTAGATACTCGTATAATATACAGAAGAGAACGAATATGAAATGAACTAAAAATTTGTCATATCAGGAAGATATTCTGAACAATCTAAAAGTTTATAAAACTTCTAGTCATGTTCCTGGAATATATAAGATCGAGAATAAAAGTACATATGTAGAAAATGTAACATAAAATGAAATTTTGATATAAAATATACGTAAAATGTTTCGACTATTTTTAAATAACTTTAAATCTTGTGACCAAGACATTGATGACCGATAAGATCCTTAATTCTAGATGGGTCGAAGATCACTAACGCCTCAAAAGCCATATATAACGGCTATCTTCTATCTTATCTTTCGTATCTATGCTATACACGAAACGCTTTCGGTATTTCTATTACTGGAAGAATACTCAGAGTTTGTATCGCGATAGATTTTCCCCAGAAAAGATTTAACGCGTTATACGCGTGGACGGCGAAGTTTATTCGTTTCGCTCTTTCTCTCTTTCTCTTTCTGCGAAGTTAAGTAATTGGAAGGCCCGGTTCTAGTGATTTATCACCGGCTTCTTGACGCACGAAAGGGCACACAGGGTTAGAGAGGAGGCTGGCGTCTCAGGCGGAGATTGTTGCCGCGTTGACCAATGATCGATCGTTTCGATAGACGCAACGCTATTGTGAGCAGTTGTACGTTGCTGGTCCCCGCATGGTGATTAAGTGATTTCCGCGAGAAAAATTGCGAATCAAATCTGCCGGGATGTCGGCTTATCTCTTTGCTATAAGAATGTCTCACTCGACGATCTTATTACATCCGAACATTTTAGTCTGTTGTGATTTCAGGCCAAAACGATATTAAGAAATTGCGCAGAGAGAACGAGCAGCTGCGTAGAGAAATATGGAGTCTCAGGGACGAGTACGACAAACTTGAGGATATTTTGAAGAAACAGAAGAACCGCGAAAGCGAAGAGTACGAGGTTGGCACTTTGATTTTTAATTGCGTGACGCTATAAATAATTCGTAATAAAACATAATAAAAGTACATTAAGAAACAGAGAAAATTAGCAAGACAATTCTCGTCTCGACAATTCTCTCTCTTTGTTCCTACTCCTTTCCTAAAATTGTTAGCTAATGAAAACGTAACATAGTTGTGATCGATATAATTAACGAGAACAATATGTTGGAACACATCGCAAATTGCAGGATCGCTCCGAGGAGGATGACGGCCTGCAGTCGGACTTCTCCTGCGAGGAAGACGAAGAGGAGTACGAAGATAATGAGAAGACGGTCAAGGACTTGAACCAAGAAGAACAGCTAGAGAATGCGGAGAATCAGAAGATCTCTTCCGAAAAGATGAGCAGCAATATGCACCGACTTCACGTGGAGTTCGACGATCTGTCGGTAGTTGACGAGGAAGAGGAGCCCAGGAGAGATAAGGACAAGAAGGAGACGACACCGGAGAAGGAAAACGAGGCTGTTGGGCATCCACCCCCGCCGGTCCTCAGTCCCCGGCAACTTCACGAGAACATCCCGTTTTATCCCGCCACGTACGAGCCAACGAGTGCTTTCAGCGGAACCAGTTATTACACCGAATGCCCGTTCGAGTTTCCGAGTACGATGGATTTAATGCTATCCGCGGATACGTCCGCGTTATTGGCTTCGCCATACTCCGGATTACAGCCTGATCCATTGATCCCGCTGGCCAACTTGGACGCCGCAGGTCTGGAGATGGCCGATCCGACCCTACCTCAAATTCACGTTCCGCCGGTCGGTTGGCAGAACGACGTGGTTTCTCAAAACCAAGTGCCTACTTATACGGGCGGCATTGCCCCCGTCACACCGGGGGCAGAAAGGCCAAACTCGCACCCGTTAATAGTTTCCTCGTTGGGAAGCTCAGTGCCGGCGTCTAACACTTTCGGCTTCTTCAAGAGGAGGAACGCAAGTACGAAACAACCCACGAAACTCCAAGAGGCATCAGCTACTTCACGAACGCAGTTTCCGTGTTCCGAAGAAGCGGTCGGTAGAAACGTCTGGAACGTGGATTCTCTTGGATCAGCTGTGGCAAACAGAGAACAGAATATGCAGCGAGTTGGGAATACCGAAGAGACCACCACGATGTTCACGGTGCCGGAAAAACCTAGACACTTCTTCGCACCGCAGCCTTTCAAGCTGAATAAACAGGAAGAAGAATCGCCGACCGCCAGTGTAAGCCACTTCGGAACCGGAACTAGTTCGAGTAGCGGCAAAACAGCGTCCACGGTGATTTCTAGGACTAATCCTTTCGTAGGATTAAAAGGTTCAGCGGACATTTACATAAACGGCGCGATACCTTGCGAAGACGCTACGAGAGATAAGAATGACCCGAGGACATTTTTGAGTACAGATAACTTATTGATCGCGGACAGCAAAACTGCCCTGGATGGTCAATTGACGAAATCGTTATCCTGCCAAGATCTCACGAGCGATTCTCAGAGTGTCGCGCAACAATTAAAACTAAATCACGCTGAGTCTCAGATGCTTACGAAAAGCGACAATACTCTGGACAATATGAGCGGTTCCTCCAGTAAACCGTACAAGAGTCATCTGAACGTGACGTTAAAGATACCGCGAGTCGAGCAAGCATCGAGTCCAGAGACACCAGAGATACCCAACCTACCCTCGATAGATTACCGTCTCTTTAGGAATCCTTTTCTAAGAAACTTTGACAAGATCCGTCCCAACTATCAAGTAAAATCAAATCCTCCTCCCGCCTCGACACCGCTTTCTATTCAGGTGAACGACGACGGTCTCGCTTATCCGTATCCTATGCCGGGTTACGGTCGGGACGTTCACCTCAACGAGAGATTTCGTGCCGCACACTTGCCGGATCAAAGTCGATTGCTGATACCCAGCGACCAAGTAATGAGCGGCAAGCAGGATATTCAAGTGACTTCCTTCGAGAGGCCGAGCCCTTGCAACCTCGTACCTTCCGCCGCGCCTTACGATCTGACGAGTTTGAGAAGATTGAACGCGAATCGATATTTGCAGAATCAGAATTTGTACCAGAACATTCCCTACGCATCGCGAGGACCTGGTCAATTTTGTTCCCAGAGGTGTGGGATAATGTATTATGATAACGTCACGAAAGTACCGGCGCAAACGCAGACGTCGATTGACGGCGATTCGCATCACGAGGACGAGGAGACGATCAGCGCGCCGAATTCGCCGAACGGACAGGGGCGGAGAAAAATCGCCAAGAAGGATAAAGCTTTGATCAAGGATCCGAACCCGCTATCGCCGACGGCACAGAGAAAACTGAAGAAGCAGACCAGCGTCATATCGACGGACGCGCTCGATTCGCCCGGGAAAATAACGCGGAAGAAACCGAGGAGAATGAGCACGATGACGTCCGACGCGCAAGAGAACAAGAACGAAAGCAGGTCGTCGTCCTCGGGACAAGATTCGCCGCGTAAGGATCAAAATCGAAGGATGTCCGTTTATATCAATTCTAAAAGACGATCGTCTCAAGCGTCATTGAAAACCTCGAGGAGTGGCAGTGTCGATGCCAAAGACAAGTTCACGGACGGTACCGCGCTGAATTTGGAACGGGAAAGAACGAACTCGGTCAGTAGTCGAGAAATCACCAACGTGAAAGCTCGCAAGACTAGTACCAGCAGTGGTAATGTGCCATGGTGCGCGTGTTGGGGGAACGGTTGCATTTAATCGAACCTGAACTTTCAATCCCACTCGAGGATGTAACTAAGAAAGTAGAATGAATACAACAAGTGAGGCGTTGACTAATTTTAATGTATTAAATATCAATAGTTTACTTCATTAGTTAATTAGTAGCATTGATTGTTGTATAAACGATATCAATTATTTTGTGAGCGACGTTTTATTTGTTAAACTAATCTCTATACCTGAAAAAAAAACTACCGAGCTCGTCTGTGCGTCTTATTTAAGACTACATTGAGTTATGAACTGTAGAACATATTACTATGCTGTTATTATTCATATCAATCTCAGAAATGAACATTCATTACTCAATTACGCCAAAGAAAAAATTGGATCGTATACTTCCAGATCAGCGATCTTTTTCCATTGAGAAGATTAATGCGCCAGATGCATTATTGTTCGTATCACTGATACCATCTGGATATCTCTCAATAGTCTGATCTCGTATGCATCTCGCGAAACATTGAAACGAGAAGCTATCGCTTGAATCGGACGCAGTGGCCCTTATTTATTTAAGACAGCTGCGATTTGTGTCAACAATAAAATGTTCTTGGTACTTTCTGGTCTACGGGCCGAGAGAGGGCTAGGTCGACTGAATAATTCGAAGGGCAAATACCAAAGGGAAATGCTGATGGGCCGCGGAATGAATTCAGGAAGGAAGGCCTTAACTTCCCGTTGCTAGTGTAAGGGAACCGCCATTGTAGCCGGTAACGCAGGTCGTAAAACAAGCACAGACAACGGTACTATGGTGTTACTAACGCTGTCACAACGGGGTGACAGTTGTATCTAAACTAGTTCTGCCAAGAGACCAGGAAGACGGGCCTGCATCCGCTCTTAAGGCAAATTTACTGAGCAAGCGCAAGCTTGTCCTAAGCACGCGTGCGAATAATGATATACATTCTCGGATTATGTAGCTCTTCTAGTAGCGATTGTTTACGATTAGATTTCACTAACGATATGAAAGTTGGCGGTACACTTACATTAGGCACTTTAGGAGACCTTTTAGGCTGTTATGTTGCTATATTTTATAAAAGAATCTATTTTTACAAAATAGATATCTCGCGAATATACAACTTAAAATCAAAACTTTATTTTTAAAAGTCTTGTTATAACTAAAACTGTTATCGTTAATTGTCATTTTTACTAGCGCATTAGTTACTAGTTATTATAATATTTAAAATAATACTTTATAAAAGTATTATTTTATGTGCTGCGAAACTAAACAAAATATTATATACAAAATATTGTTTCTAGTCATTTAACATTGTCATGTATTTTATTGAGTTTTAACGTTTCAATGTATTTTAAAGAATTGCAACGAGAGTCTACCAGTATGCGGCAACAAGTATTCTACGCATTTACAGCAGACAAATTTTTTAAAATAATAATCACATAAATGTATATTAGTAATTGCACGCTGTATTAGACTAGTATACACTTGTGTGTAATTTGTATATTTTGATAATTAATTTATATCAGTATTTATAATATTTTAGATTTATAGATATATCAATGTTAGAGAGATTCTAGAAAAATTCTTATATAAGGTGTGTGTTTTAGCAACGCATTGTACTTTTATACTTTACGCGTTATAAAATACAACATCGATGTATTTTGTATTCGAGTAAATTATTACTTCCTATATCTCTAATGACCATTAGGTAATAATACTCGAAGCCATTCTCACATTATATTCCTGCGAATCATCGATTATCCGGTTGCGTGAAATTTATTAATGGCCCAAGGGGTACAAGGGAAACTTAGCGGCAAAGTTCGCGACTATCCCTTCGCGGGAACTTCTCCGCGCCGTTATTCGTCGTTCAATTACGCGCGAAAATGAAGAGAGAAAGATACGAAAAACGGGAGAGGCCGTCATGCTCTTGAGATTTTATGAGACTCTAGAAAAGCATAATTAAAATTCTGTATAAATAAGGCAATTATCTTTCCGCATTGTCAAATTACAATTACGTAAAGTAAAATTCATATCTTGCGTTCGATTCAGTACCACCTTGCATTTAGCAAGAGGATAATCGACACATTCATCGTAAATCGTATGGTGTGAAATTTCTATTTAACTTAGAAAATTGCTCTAAAAGTTATGGTTCTCACACGCTTCGGGAACTTTGGTTATTCAAGCGTTTTTATTAAATGGGGTATTATTTATAAATCTATTTAAAGTCGACACATACAGACGAATTTCTTAGGTTAGGAAAAGAAAAAGTTTCTTAGCAGGAAGATTTTAGCAACGGATGTACCAGAATAATATTATCCGACACTACGAGCACTCATCCCACATTTCACATTTCACTAATCGCTGCTGCAACATCTGGCAATATATTTAGCGCACTTACGAGCACGCGGAATCAACCTCTTAAATTACCGTGAACGTGGTTCTCGAATACGAATCACGTTCACAGTAAGAGTTGCGAGTAACAATTGGAATAAAAAATGTCGGTAATATTCGGGCAGATCTTTGTCAGAAACTGGGGAGAGCTGGTTGGGTCGCGCGTACGAGTGTCAGCGATGAGGGCGGCGAGGAAGGTTGCCGGTGCAATTAAAATGCAAATCGTCCCTTTTCCCGCGGCCTGTCCGCTGGACCATCCTTCCAGGAGGTCGCTGGTCCTCTCGCGCTCTCGCAACTCTACACCATAATGGTAACGCCGTCGCCGATTAACTTGGAACTAGTTTAGGAACGACTCGACTCGGCTCGGCTTCGCTCGGCTGCGCGAAGTCATACAAGGAGGGAACAAGACGCGGTCTTTCGCTTGGTCTCTCTCGCAAAGTGCCACGTAAATGGAAGATGGTACGTTAATACGGTCTAACATCATTTGCAAACGTCACTGCGAGAGACGTGCTCCTGGCATCCAACGCAAGGTACGTGCGTTTCGTCTTATCATAAAAGGGACAAACCTCGCGGCGAATATGGAAACTACAATAGTGGCTTCTAAGATTGTTTTCATATTACATACTGAAAATCCAATCATCACTCGTATACACGTGTAGGTATCCAAAGTGCAATTAAAAATTCAGCATCGCTCAATTTCACAAAATTCTAATATCTGCTAATATCTTTAGAGTTGAGTTGTATGTAATATCTTTAGCCATTACATTTTTAATCAACATTCGTTTGTTAGCCTCAAATCAATATGTCACGCCAATTCTTTAAATACATTTTGTGCATTTACATATCTTATTTATGTAAATCGTACAACTCATCACATACACATTTGACATTTTGATATTTTTATGAAAAAAAATCCCATGTTCAAGAACTTCTGTCTTTTAATTCAAAATTTTTCCCAATATTTTTCGGCGGAACGAAACAAGAGTGAATTTAAAACGGTTACGCGTGACTTTCAAAGTTTTATTTCGTATTTCTCGCGCTCTGCTCGAACGAACAAATCGTTACCGAGGCGAGTATGCAGATTAATCGCGAAGCAGCGGCAATATCGCTGTCATCTGTCTGTAAAATAACTGCGGAATGCGGACAGGCCGGAAGTAACATCGCATTGTCTTCGTGGAAATAGCGCGGAACAAGATGGAAGAGACAGTACCTTAATGGCCTGATTTCATTTGCAAATGTCATCAAGAATTTTCACTCTGCCCGGCGATGGAAACATCTCGCGTTTCTCATGCGAGATGATAAGCGTAATAATATGCAGCGGCATAATTTCTACTGACGCATGCTACTCAATTAATTATGCGGAAGAACTGCCGTTGCTCGCGTCCAATTTGCAGATTACAAAATACTGCATTATGTCCCGGTACATGCAAGTGTGCCTACGAAAGTACTGTCACGAGTAATAATTTAAGTGCATAGTAATGAATGAAACTCGCTCTAAAAATATAGCAATTAATATAGGAACAATTTCGAAAGCCTTGCAATTTTTACGAAGCCATTGCGACATAGGAAAAGCATTGTTATGAACAAGAAACTAGATTTGAAGGTTTCTTTCGGTCTCAAAAAGATTTCTTTTTCAGTTTCGACCAGTTTACCAATCGACTTTGTCGAGATAAATATCAATTTTTTCGCGTAGTGAAGGGGATCGCCAGAAAGTTTAATTTTAACTTTTAAGAAGACACGTCAATAATTTTGACGACTGTCTATAAAAGCATATCTTTATTTGCGTCCCAGTTATCGCGGATCCTAATTAAGGACCGATCGCCAGTCAGTATTCATAAATATAAAATGTGGGACGTGATTATCCGCTGTTACAACGTTCGTTAAGATAATCAGCTTTAATTATGCACTTCGTCAATCTACTGTGAATTCCGCCAGTGTACGATCATTGACAGGTCATTGACAGGGGACATAATGGCGCCAACTAAGAGTTTTGTAAAAAAAATAACCTGTTGAACAATTCACGATTCCGAAGAGTGAACATATGCGGTACGAAAGTCTTGTTATATTAACTCCGGTCGTGGAGTGAATTTGATAATTTCGTCGAGAAAAGTGCGTGCGTGAAATCCGTATGAAATGATTTTCAATAAAAGAATTCGGCGGCGATATGACCAAATGTCTGTTGTTCCTGAAAACTTTGTGGAGAAGAAGACGTCAAGGACGCGATCGGCTTGAGTTTCGCCCGAAAGAAATTTCTTCAAATTCGCGAAAGCTGCTCCGGCAAGAATCCGTGAATCTGTCTTTGTCCTCGCTGCTTCCCCGTCGCTTTGCGTTATGAACTTTCACGAAAGTTTCGCGAGCCTTTAACTTGTACAATGCGGACCCTTTGCCCCGGCGGAAATTTCACGTAAGTTCCATTACGTTTTGCGCAATTTTACGATTATGTTTCCGTGGTAATCAGTTCTTATTGCCAAACTTTCTGAATTTAAAAATAACGGATTATTTATGTGAGCATACAAAAATTTAAATTAAAACTTTTTCAACTGGGTTTCACAAATTGATATAAAGCTAAATGTAAAATTACACATGTAACACAAGCTTCATCGAATAATAAAAATTTTCAAATTATGCGAATTTTAATATGTGGAATATAAATATTAAAAATAATTTAAAGCAAAAATCGCAAAATGCAACTGAAAATATGTTACTAAAAATAATTATTTGGTTCTTTCCTTTATTTTTACTTTTCCTTTGTACCTTATGATAAAATTTTACGATAAAATAGAGAAAGAATATAATAATTTAACGATAAAAATATATTAAAGTTATCTTGCATATTAGAAGAAAGGGAAAAATGAAGATACTCCTGGAAAATGTTCCTGGCACTTACAGTACATTACATTTAGAGCTCGCAGTTAATCTGGCAGGGAAAATGCGCAGTTAATAATCTCCGCGGTAAGGATAATGAACATTGGTGTGAAGATAATGAATATTTGTGGCCGTATAAGTTTAAAAAATTTTTAATAAAATTTGAGCGGAATCAAGTCACGCGTGTCGCGATTTCGTCTTTTTACCGTGTAAACGAAATAACTGGAGAATTGTCAGCCCCTCCGGACAGGAAATTCAATATTCCGGCTTAATAAGCAGGAAATATTTGCTCGTGTTGTATGTCCCGGTAATATTCCGTAGTACGCGAGTTCAGCATGGTGTTTTTTTTACGAATATTCTTTCTTCTTTCGGGCGATCCCAAATAAACGGTAGTGGCATATTGATGGCGCTGCTTAACGGAACAAAAAGCCAGATACATCGCGCATTTCGACCGTAGCGTGACAGTTAAGGTCGCTAAAGGGACTTTTAGGAGTCGCATGTTAAATATTAGCAGAAATAAAATTATACCCATTATTACCCATACCGTAGCGAAGCGAAAATAAGATAAATAAGATAAGCAGACGAAACAAAAACAAAACGTAAATTAAAAAAAAGAACTATCAAGTTAAATCCGAAATAAAATTTGTCGAACAGCATTTTCGATTCAAACTGTACAGATATCAAGGTGTCCGTAGAACGGGTCTAATTTCACGAAAAAATGTTTTAAATAAAACTTATATTAAAAAATTGGATTATTTTAGTGTATTTATATCACCGGTTAAAACGTAATTTTTATTTCAGCTGTCTACAACGAGAATTTTTAGTCCAAATAATACCGCGCTATAAATCTATTGCTACAAAATACACGTTGATTTGGTTTTTAATAAAATTTAAACAAAATTGATTAAAAATAAATTTCTCATTTATATAACGTTACCAAATGCAATGTTATCTTGATTATTTAAAATAGTTTTAATTGGAAAATCCTATTGCAGTTATAAATGATTAAAATAATAAAAATTACACATATACTCGTATTTATTTAGTAAATATGGATAGATCTTCAGCCGAGACGCGCCGCTCTTTTTAACATTTCCGTATGTAAGGAAAATGCAATCTTCTCGAATGGCGTCAATACTAGCAAGCTACAATTCGATCGCGAGGAATATGCCGCCAGGCTTTCAGCGCTTCCATCTCGGATGCTCGGCGTTTCAAATTTACTATAATATCGTCCGAGAAACTTTAGAAGGTAAAAGAAGAAGAAAGATATTATGGGAAGAGCACGAGACCGACGTGAGGAGAATTAAAAGGATACCGATGAAGCGATCCCACTCCACGTTCGATCGAGAGGGGTTTCATCAACGGAAGAGCTAATTATCGCTGCTTTGTATTCAGCAAGCGACGCTTCGAGAAGAAGATATTTATGCATTTCC